AACCCCAAAACCCCATGATCAATAAAATAATAATATATCCTTAGTAAATCGAAATTTCATAATTAATTCTGGGATAAATCTCAATTAATTCAATAATCAGAATCTGAATCCTACTACTGTTATTATTAGGATTTTATATCACTAGTATTCTTAAGATTTTTATTGTTGATCATTCTGTGGTCAGCTTAATCTTATTAAGATATTTAGTCAATATATCTTTCAATTATATCATCCCAATCAATAGGAATTGTAACCCTTACCCTATCATTGTTATCATCTTAAAGCAGGGGTTATGGGGCTTGATCTATAGGAATATTGCCTTTACTTTTTCCAAAGCTAAATTAGCCTGTTATTTATTAATCAATGTTCTTTGTTTTGGGATTCTTTTTCATATTCATTCTAGTTTCTACATCCATCTCATCGTCTTCATCAAAAGCATCATCATCAGCTTGACTATCATGGCTATCATTCATTGAAATTTAATCTTCATCAACCATTGCATTTAAATGATTTTGATTCGATATAAGACTATCATTAATTCCAGCATGAACTTTGGAATTATTAGGTAAATGCTAGAATTGATCTTCATGAAAGGCAATTTTTAAGCCTAGTTTGTTTCTTGCATTAGGAAGATCTGAATTTTCATCATTTTCATCATAATCTTGCTCAATCAGATTTTTCCTAGCAGTAGTTCTAGTCGATTATTTTCCAGTGAAATTATTTCCATTCTAGGGGTGAGATAGATCTTATTGGGCTCTCGGCTCTAATAAAGACTGTTGATAAAGTTATGGTTAGTAGTAATTATTTTTGTAATACTTGGGCTAGTTTTCTTAGTTTTATGGTTTAGGCTTGGTACGATTTCCAACAAAGAACTTATAGAAAATCTTGAGAAGCTCCTAAATTTCATCAAGACTTTCCAAACCCTCTGTTAGCTTTTCTTTCTTAAGCTCCTTTAAACCATTATTTTAGATCAATGATTGGGTCATTGAACCCATTACATCTGACCCTACAATAGTATTATACTAACTCCTTGCATAAGTCTCTTTCCTTGATTACAATTTAATTGATTGAGTCTATCTTCTACTTTCATTCAGAGCCTACTCCTATTTCAATAGTTTCTTAGTCTTTTCAAAAATAGGTTCATTTTCAATAACAGAAAGCACTTTTTCACGACCTTCTCTACCAGTTGCTTATTTAATTATATCAGTGATTCTTGTAAGTTGGTTTATTGGATGAGTTATTCTTTTGGTAAATCGTAATATCAAGATCCAAATTGAGAAAAACAATAAGATTGAGCATCCAAATACTATATAGAGCAGATTACGGAACTATGACTAGATCTCATCCCAGAGCTCATCAGAATACTTAGAAGTTGATGAAATTGATTAGATCATAACTATTACGTAGTTTGGATTCTAAGTATCATTTATTGGATTTTAACATCTGTATACTCTGTACATCTCTCCATTTCTAAATACGATTAAGTCTGATAAATCCTTACATGCTTCCTAAATTAGTGTAATCGTATTCTGTTCTCAAAGTATCGGTAACATTAGTGTAGAGTTCATCCGGAATTATTATATCATTATTGATGTTAGATACGACTAAGTTGTTTTGGTTAATTTTACCATTAGAATCTGGTCTGTGAATAAGGTAATATGATTTTGGACCTTGCATTACAAGCTAAAAATTTTATAAATAATGTTGAAATATAGTTACTGGGTCTATTAATGACTTGAAGACAGATATCTTGTATTGAAGACCTATGATACCAATAGGATTTGTACCAGCTTTACCCTAATTCCAAATTACTTGAGTATAAGTTGTAATATCGCCAAATATGCTGTTTCCAAAAGGATCTTTTATTTTAGGAAAACTAGTAAAGTTATTTTTAGCTAGAGTCTAAGACCAAATTTTCCCAAATTAATTTAATTATGCTGTACATCCTCCTAATGAAGAGGCATTCCCTAGATTCACATTTTACTAAGCAGGATATAAGAATAAGACATTTTCACATAGTCCTGATGTCGTATTGCTTTGAAGCATAATGAAAATTCTTGAGATGTTTATATCAGAATCTCTTCCCACTCTTGTTAGAATTAACTTCTTCCAATAGGAGTTTAAAGTAGATATAGCTCTTATATAGTTCTAAGTTTAAGCATTTAATTATGCAAATTAGCTCTATTCTGTATAATAAACCATATGATCATAATCTAGGCCTTAACTATCAAATGTGGCTTCTTTTGTCGTGTAAAGTTTAGTTGTTTAAATATTCAAAGGATAAGGTGAAAACACAACAGGATCTATATTAAAAATTTATGAATAAAACCATGATAATAACTATATACTGACTTATTATTTCCTAAGTCATCATTCTAGATTTTTCAAGCAGCTACTAAGAAATCTGGCCCATCAATTCAATAGATAAAGATGATTCACTATGAGTTTATTAAGAAATCGCATTTTATATTCTTAAGCATAGAACTTAAGAGAATAATTTTGGATACTTACACGCCTAAGTCATTTAAATTTTGACTGTATATGCTCATTATTTCAGAATCTAGTTTTTCATAAGTTGAATCAACCAAAAAATTTAGGTTAACCTATATTATGTTTAAGATTTTCTCTCGAAAGTAAATTAGTTAAAATAAGCTTCATTTGGCTAATATTACAGCAATAACAGCAATTAGAATGACAAGGACACAAAATAATGAACAACTGACACTGCAGAATATCTACCATCTTAAAGTCCATTTAGCAAAGCCAAGCTTCTGCTTTATTTTATCCCACACCCATGGTCCAATACCACAAGTAATAATTTGAAAGAATTTCTTAAAAAAACCCATTTTAACAATTATAATTACTATTTTTCTCGAATACTATTCTCAACTTTTCTATTATTATATCAAAATGGGGTTTTGGGGTTTTGGGGTTTTGGGG